TGCTACTTCCGGTGCGGAAACTCCTGTGGGGAGCTTTGTTTCCGGTGTCCTATTCGCGCCTGGTTTACGGTCCAAAACAAGTTAAGCAAATGAATCAGTGGCGATTTACATTTCTATAGATGTCTCGGGCATTTACCCAATATATCTGTAAATGATGTTCATCGACTTGTCGATGTTTTTTCCCTGCGCCTCAGAAGAAAAGAGAAAAGGGACTCAAATGTTATATTTCTCAGCTGTCCCTCGTTTATCGCGGGTGTTATGTTCTAAAAATAACCAGCGAGAGGTGAAATCAAGGAGCCAAATTTATTTTTTGACGGTGCAAAATGTTTGGTGGACAGCGTGGACATACAGTACTGCACTTCAGAGTCACATTGCTAGCGGTCAATGCAGCGATTCTGTACTGTACAGGAGAGACGTCACGGAGGAGATCGTCTGCAGCGATCAGGACGCAGGACACAATGTGACGTAAAAAAAGCATGCAAACTTGCACAAAAAAAATCCGTGAAACAGCGAGGTGAAAGGTGAACCGCGTTATAGCGAGGGACCGCTGTAATTTTGAAGGTAAGTCACAACATACCCTTCGTAAATACTAATGCATAGAAACCGTTACAATCATTCATTTTTTGTGTGGCTTTTTTCACGGTTTGTTAACATGCTGTGTAGGTGTGTACTTGACTAGCTGATATCAACATAACAGGGAAACATCTGGTTTGACTGATCTTCACCTGTAGTTTGAATGCTGAACATTTGCCTGTTTAAATCATGAGACCAGTCACTATACAAAGATGTGATTCTGAATGTGGACGATGTGTCGTCTGCTGCAGTGATGCAGTTCTGCTTGTGTTGAGTGATGTAAACAACTGATCGATCTAAACTCTTTAAACGTCAAAATTGATCATTAGATTTTTTTATGACACAACAGCGGTGAGTGTTCCCACCTTCTGCTCTTTGTAACTTAACGCCATCTTTCCGTTTTCGAGTTTTGGACATGATTTTGGAGGATATCTTTGCAGTAGCGATTGACCGCAAAGTAAAGCTACCGGAAATGCACAACCCCACATCCGGTCTCAAACCAGGAAGTTAGCATTGTCTCGTGCACATAGTCAATTGAACTCAGTTACACAGCGATAAAAAGAAACACAAAAAATGGCAAGAAGCTGTTGTATTATTAACTGCAATAGCCGGTGTTGTGCCAAAAAGTGATTGTCTGCCAAAAAGTGATTTCCGGTATTTGCCAAAAACTGATTGCTCGTATTTAAATTGCAATAAGTAACTTGTTGGGCTATAATATGTGAAACATATGTCAAATGCATCACTCATGGATGACATAAAGTCATCTCTCCATCTCTCTCTGCTGCTCTTCTGTCTCCTCTGTCACGGACTTCTCCACTTTAGATGATAAATCAGCTGGTGCAACATGTAAGGATTGGCACAATTTGTTAAGGTTTTGAGGAGTTTGAGAAACTAACCTTAAGCATAAAATAAAATTTACTATCAGTAACTTCATAGCACCCGCCCAGCAGTATATAAACTCCGTCATGCTAGCTAGTACGCAGTACCTGTTATTCTAAGCGACTGTAAAAAGTCAGCACAATGAAAACAAACTCCAACTAAACTTGGTTTATATCTGACACAGACAGCAGGTCATAACTTCTTACCTGAAGTTCAGTTCCTCTGCCACTATGACCGGCGGCCGCCTCGGCTCTCTCCTCCTCTTGCCTCCCCTTTCCCTTATCCACCTGCTGGCCTCCACCACTTGCTGATGTTGCTAAATCTGTGGAAGCTATGCCATAGCTACCGCCAAACAATTCAGTTATTTTTTACACATTTGGCAGCGTCTGCCTGAAGGGCTTGTTTCTTTTTGGCCCTAATTTTTTCTGCACCTCCTTTCCTTTTTTTGTTCTCCATTTTCTTTAGTTCGTCTATAAGATTGCTAAACAAGGGGGAGGGTGCATCCGACCTCCTCGGCTGTAATAGGTCCAGCCCAGAGTCGATCATGACCAATTGGCCAATCCAACACCTTTCATTATTTATACCCTTCCAAAAAAAAAAAAAATCCATCGGCCCATAAAAACAAAAAATCGCTAGCGGCCCGGTGGGCCCGATGGCCAGTCCAGCTATGCTTGACGTTCGAGTCTGACTACTTCACACCTGTGAATGACTGCCAGGCCCATTATGTAACGCACGATGCTTTATGATGCAACATTGTTTTGTTTCATTGCTGTGTTTATGTGGGAGGCACTCAAAAGCTCTTATTAAAGAACCAAAATCAACATGTTTGCACAACAATGATGACATGATCTGTTTACTGTAACAGCAACATTCAGATATTACTGCTTAGACCTGCATTCAATCTAATGTCCAGCAGGGGGCGACTGCACTGGTCTGATTGTCTGAAGTCTGTAGGAAATGAAATGATCTGAAGGGTTTGTGGTCTCAGCTGCTGGGTTCACAGCTTATCCAATAACAGTGAAAATGATCATCCAGGACGATAAAAGCCTATTTTTACCGAGCGTGCAGCGTCGCCTGGTCAGCTCGGCCCCTTCACTCTTCCTGCCAGGTCTCAAAAATGTTTGAAACCTGAAAAACAACCTCAAACACCAATATGTGACATCACAGTGACCATCTCATATGTATAGTCTGTGCATGTATGTACCCACAGGTGTGTGAATCAAACATCATCCAGGAACATGAAGAGAAGCTTACACACGTTGTTTATTTGGTGAATTTTGCTCCTTGACATTTATTCATAGACAAACACAGCAACAGATTTACTGCATGCTCCTTCACAGCATTGCTTTAAATCTCAGGGTGATACCCTCTGTGGTATTAAAGTACTCACTATGCATACTCGCTGTACTATTACTGCAGCAGATCCCTTTATGGCGTCAGTGTGGCAGCAGTGTTCAGAGTCGGTTTGAAGGTGGTTGCAGCTCACTCGGTATCCCATAATCCCCTCACATGAAACCGGGCACGCTTGGCTCTCGGGGCTTCACGGGCTCCCAGTGCCGTTCACGTCCCGTCTCTCCATTGTGTCTCGGATCCAGTTGAGGAAGTTGCCCAGTCGGGTGTAGACACCGTACTTGCCACGGGCGGCACATTTCTCCCCCCAGCTGACGACCCCGGTCAGGAACCAGGTCCCCCTGTAGTTCACCACAAACGGCCCTCCGCTGTCCCCGCTGCAGGCGTCCTTACTGGCCTCCAGGTAACCTGCGCAGTACATGTTGTCTGTGATCACCTGCAGGAAACACAGGAGGGGCCGGGCATCAGGGCAACGTGGGAACGGCTGCGTCTCTATCGCTGACCCTGGTCTGGTTTGATTTGGTCATAGACAGTATCGCTCGAGTGAACAGCACACCTGAGACGGGGCAGATTTACATGTACACCTGTACACAAACAATGCTGACAGCAGATGCTGTGCATCATGTTCAGGTGTCCACAGTCTGCTTAGTGCAGGATTCAAACACGTTACAGAGAGCACACCTGTTCATCCAACAGTTCTTCCTGTAAGGACACATGAACAGGTGTGCTCTTTATCGTCCTCTACGACCCCAACTGTCGTTCAGCAGTGCTGCTCGCCGAAGCAGTTTCCACCCTCGTTTCATTTTGTAGAGATGACACTACTACACTCAGTAATCAGATTACAGTTACTTTTAGAAAAGGTCATTACTTGTATTAAGTATGATGAATGTGCAGCAGTCCCCTGCTAACATGCTAACCTGTGGACCTCCATCCAAAAACTGTCCAGCCCGTCGGTGTTCACCACGAACGTGGCGGTCTATCGACAGCGGGCGTACCAGGTAACCCTCTAAGTAGCCCCCCCCCTTATCAGAGGATGCAGCAGCTTTTCTAACGTTTACGTCACCTGTTGCTGTGTTGCTGCTCTTTCTCAAACACTAAGTATAGATCAGCAGTTGCTGCGGGGTTGGGCTCAGACGCTCAGCTGATCACCTGCTCGGTGGTGCTGATGCAGTCTTTGTAGCCGACCACTGGGAGTGTCACCTTCCTCAGGAACCTCGAGGAGCGGCCCAGGTACTCGGTGGCCCCCCAGCCCGTCACCACGCCGTGGTTGTCCTCCTGGGCACACGGACACAGTCGGCATCAGACAGATGGGCCAAGTCAGCTGCAGCACTCATCATTTCCGATGAAATTACCTTCAGCAGGTATTTGGAGAGGTGGGTGTCGGGGAGGCAGGCGGGGACTGCGGTGGGGCCCCTCTGAACAGGCCGGGCGAGATAGAGCAGAGCGAGGTCGCTGTCGAAGGTGAAGGCGTGGAAGTGAGGATGAATGATGACCTTCTGGATCTTTATCTGCTGCTCGCCTGGATCGGGACGCTGCTTGTCGTAGTCACCTGCAGACACACACACACTCAGAAAACCCAGCTCACACACACATTCCTGCGCTCAGACTGAAGGGACAGCATTGATGAACCGAGATGCCGCAATCCCTGCTGCAGCCAGCAGAGGGCACATACCTGAGTGTAGTGGTTTTACAGACGTGCAGAAGCCTACACAGATGTGTGAACAGTGTCTGATTAGCATTCAAAGTATGCGTGTTTACATGAGCACCCCTGCTGCTCTGCCGCTCACAGTGGGTGAGGTCCACTGTAAACCACCGGCCTCACCTATCGTAATGTGGTCTGCAGACTCTTCAAAGCAGTGAGCGGCAGAAACGACCCATCGGTCAGATACCAGAGTCCCTCCGCAGAAACCGAAGCCGTCAGACCTGTGGATCAGAACCTGAACAGAAACGCTCAGCGTCAGCACGTTCACACAGCTCAGAACAAGGTTCTGCTTCGTTATTCCACTGATCCCTCCAAACCTGCCAGGGGCTCCCTCCTCTCCTCTCCAGGGATCCACCCACAACACGAGGCTGCATCTCGCTACCTCCTGCCCCTCCACTGTCCGTCAGGTTCCCTCCTCTCCCTGTTGCGTTCGCTGTCCACACCTCTGTTGAATTAAGTTCAGGTAGCCAGCTGTCTGTTGCATTGTAATCCCACGTGGCATCGTCTGTCTCCAAGGAACTCAGCAGAGAGCGACCTCGATCCAAAGCCTCCATCTGCTGACGGCCGCAGGGGAACGCCACTGAGCAGGAATGGGAAAGAAAGATCACGAAATCAGCTCAGATTAGCCGTGAGACCAACAAAGACACAGACATGAATATATGAATAATGATTAACACCAGTGCATCATGGGAATTCCCCAGCATAACTAAGGGAGGGTTCAGGGTCACCTGGTCCAGCCCTAACTATATGCTTTAGCAAAAAGGAAAGTTTGAAGCCTAATCTTGAAAGTAGAGATAGTGTCTGTCTCCTG